GCCGAGCCACTCTTGACAGTCGCGGTAGCACGGTCTCGTGTTGTTTCCACCAGCGCGGCAAATCTTTGTCATCACAATAATAGTTAATGGATATCTAAAATATAAAAATAAGGAGAAGCCTAAAACAGGCCCGAGGCCCGGCCCGCGTCTGAACTATGATGTGTAAATTGGCCCGAAGCCCAGCCCTAGTGGTGTAAAAAAGTGGTACTTGGATTACGTTACTGAATACTTTTTTAGTGAAGTAATTTGTAACTGTAACGGAATACATTATAAAAGTAACCCTCCCAACCTTGCTTATATAACAGTTAGTTTGTGCAACCACCTGCAGCAGTTATAGAACAAGACTGTAATACCCAGCTGCTCTTAGATAAGATTACATGTGTTTTGCACTACTCTGAATGCTTTGCAATAAATTTCATTAATGGACATATTAAAAAAGATTTCTCCAATAGTCAAATATCAGACTGAAAGGCTTATATTATTGCTGTATTCTTTTATATTGTTGTAAAAACATTGTTAAATTATTACCTATATTGAAGTTTTATCAAAAATGATGATTATGATTCTTCTTGTTATAATTAATTTATGCTACAAATTTGCCATGAAAATAGCTGATATGGCATTAAATAATAAATAAATGTTTAATATTTTGAAAGACTTTGCCTTACAGATAAAGTGTGGTCTAAAAGTCTGAGATTGTTCTTTCAATCTAGACTTTTAGGATTTTGAAAAATTACATTAATTAAAAATATTCTGTTCATGTAGCTTACTTGCTACTGTCGTTAAAAGAGATACTAAATATCTGAAATACTAAGATACTCTGCAATATTAATTTTCCAATTAGTATTCCACTTGATTTGTTTGTAATATAATTTATAATAAGAATATATGTCTTAGAAAAATGCACAATTTGCTCTAGTGGTCTCAGACCTTTGGTCCCCACTTTAAATATATCTGTTTTCTTGTCTTTTTATACTTTTATGCCCATTAAAGGTGAATTGTATACAAATATTTATTGCTATTATACCAGATGTGCATGCAACAAATAAAACTATTAAATGAGCCTCTACAAATATGAATTTGTATGCCCTTCAGATGCATTTTAGTCTGTTTTTATTTGTATTTACATGTGTTAAGTACACAGCTTTAAATATATGATGTGTACGTAATTATATCTAAGTTGTATGTAATTATATCTTAATTGCGCATATATGTGACTTAGTAGTTATTTTTGTAGTTATTATTTAAATGCACAGTAATTTGAGGCAGCAAATGTGAAACTGTGCTGTTTAATTATTATTTTGGAGTTTAAAGATGACTCTTTGTTTGTTTTTAGTGAATACTACTTTAGTCTCCCAAACCTGGAGCGTGACTTCTTCCTGCGGAGGAAGATGGATTCAAAAGGCTTTTTGCCCATCTCTCTGATCGCCAGTTTCCACAGAGTCCAGGCCCTCACCACCGATATCAACCTCATTAAGGAGGTGACTATTGACCCTTCACCTCTGCTCTTTCAGAGATTATTATCTTTTAGGCTGTGTTATATCTGGTTTTTGTGTGTATGAGCAGGCGGTGAAGAACAGTGAAGTTGTGGAGCTTGTTGATGAGCAGATCCGTAGGAAAGAGGAGCCCGAACATTGGCCTATCCCGGGTCCCTCTCTGGACTCCCCGCGCACAGATTTTTCCCAGCTCATTCACTGCCCTGAGTTCGTCCCAGGACAGACGTTCACCTCCCTCAGCAAAGGTTCTGATGTGTTCCACTGTTTAGCTTTTTTATTGTACTTTTGATTGTTTTGCAGTGTTGTTATGCAATTACACTGTTATTTTGCTTGATTCTGAAAATAGCAGCCCTCATCACACACTTATTCTCTCTACATGTGCCGAAGTGTCGTCCTCCCCAGTCAGTCAGCACATAGATGAACCCGGTCTGGTAAATGGCCAAACTAGTGATGACACAGATGCAGCCAAACCTAAGTCCAAAGAATCCTTTCCTTCAGACTCAAAAAGCAGATCTAGTGAAGCTGGGAATAGGCCTAAAGAGCGGTCTAGCAGTCTCTCTGATCCAGATGCCCAGCCGTGGATACAGGTGGAAAAACGGCACAGAAACGCTCCTGGAAAAAATAAGGTACTGCCGGATCTGATCCTAGTCTTGTGATATGTGACGTGACGTGATATAGGTCACAGTGTTTTGTAGGGATGCATCGATCCGTTACTCAGTATCAGTATCGGCTCTGATACTGCCATTTTCTGTCGGATCGGGTATCGGTCAGACGAGACCGATCCAAATCCGATATAGTGCGTATACTATTCTGTGTTATTGTTAAGCCCCACGAAAGCACAAAAACATTATAAAGCACCATAACGTTTTCGTGCACTATATTTCAAGTGTTCTGAAGCCGTTTCATAGTTTAATGTGTAGTATAGATGAATATTTAAGTCAAGTTCACGTAAACTCTTCTCCCTGCTGCAGCTGTCTGTCATCCTCCATTCAGCATTCAAACTGCGTGTCGCGTTCGGCTACTACAGTCAAAACGATGAAACTCTCTTCAAGAGCGCACAATAATTGAGATTTAAAACCGCTAAAAGAAATGGCTCAATAAAATATCGCACAGATATAATACACTACGCAGCAATATCTCTTCCCTTTTTTATGAGGAGCTACGTGCTGTGACTCTGTGTTGCTTCAAGCGCATCATTCTGCGCACTGGATCCGCATTAAGTGCTTTGTGCCGCTCTGTATTGGAGCCATACCCTTTCGTATTATACTTTTGCACAATGAAAGATTATTAATAGTCTTTTTTGTTCTGTTCTATCTATTATATATCGCTGCCTTCATTACTGTGCTATGCATTTAAAATAAATGTCTTTTAATTTTATAGTATATATTTTATATATATATTTATGCTACTTGTTTTTCATGAATGTATTTTACAACAATACAAAGAGTAATGTATAATATTTTACCAGATTTAGTCCTACACTTATTCACTTTTATTTGTTCCCCACTAAATAATGTTGTTTCACTAAATGTTTAGTTTAGTTCAGTTTAATGTTTTTATAAAATTATTGTGCACCCATGATTTTTCTAGAATAACTTTTGCTGCTGAATTATCCACTTACCTTGTTTATAATAGTATTTTTTGTCATAGATTATGATTATATATTTTTTCATTTGTTATTTTTCATTAAAATGAAGTTGTCTATATTTAGCAGATTGTGTTTAACACACACAAGAGTGATGATCAGGTCAACACATAGAAGTATAGAAATTCTACATTGATTTAAAAAAAAAAAATGTGCTCGGATCGGAATTGGCCGATACTCAGAATTTTTGGTATCGGATCGGTTCTCTGGTATCGGAGGTAATCTAAATGAAAAACTATGGAAAAATGAGCATGATCAATTAAATTTACTCTACTGTTCGAAAATTTGGTGTCGGTAAGATGTTTTAAAATGTTTTTGAAAGAAGTTTCAAAACTTGAAAAAAATTGGTGAGAAAACTGTATACTGTATATACAGTAGTAATGTGAAATATTACTAACACTTAAAATAATTGTTTTCTATTTTAATATTTTAAAATATATTTTATTCCTGTGATCCTGAAGAAATCATTCTTATATGCTGATTTGGTGCTCAAGAAACATTTCTTTCAGTCTGTGTGCATTGAATTTATTTAATATACAAGTTTCACAATTTGAGTTGAATTACTGAAATAAATGAACTTTTCCACGACATTCTAATTTATTGAGATGCACCTGTATGTGATTTTTTTCAGTATTCTTTGAATAGAAAGTTCAAAAGAACAGCATTTATTTGAAATGGATATCTTTTTTAAAATCTTTTTGTACATTATTATTTGATCAGTTTAATACACCCTTGCTGAATAAAAGTATAAATCTCTTTTAAAAAATATTGCGCCTTCAAATGATAGTGTACAAAATCGATAAATGAAGATATCAGCCAATAACTGATAAGCAGCGCATGAAACAAAATAATAGGGATGCACAATACACTGTTTCTAAAGTCAATTTGGAGAATATTTAAAAAAAAAATTGTTTTCAATTTTTTGGCTAATTCTCATTTCTTAATGTTCCTTTATAACTCGTAAGTCTGCTTGAGCATTTTGATCACACACATATTTCCTTTTCCTCCTCCATATTTCTTCGTCCATCATTTCTTCTCTCCGTAATTCCATCTCCTGTCCTGTGGGTGTGCAGACCTCAGTAACTCCTCTTCCTCCTAGCCCTCCTTCTTCTCCTCCTCCTCCTCTTCCTCCTCCTCCTCCACCTCCCCTTCTTGAGTTGTCCCCATCTGCAGTTGAGTATCCCCCCTGCTTTCTGTGTTTTTTGCTTGCATGATTTTTTTCGTATTTATTATGAATAAATAAGATATGTTTCATGTTTGCTTCAGGAGCACAAAGAATTGTTTCAGTCTAGCTCAAAGCAGCAGCCTGAGGCAGACCAGGAGGAGCTGGACTTCCTGTTTGATGAAGAAATGGAACGACTCGCAGCGCCTCGCAAGAACACTTTCACTGATTGGTCAGATGACGATTCTGATGATGAACTTGATGACCGAGATGTAAACAAGATCCTGATTGTTACTCAGACCCCCCCTCACCTGCGGAAACACCCTGGGGGTGATCGGACGGGGAACCATGTGTCACGTGCCAAAATTTCATCTGACATTGCCAAAGCCATTAACGATGGTTTGTTCTACTATGAAAAGGATCTTTGGACAAAGGAAGAAGGGCAGCAAGAGTGTGCCAATGCCAAGGTGAGAATGGTTGTGCTTTTTAAATTATATATTCCATCACAAAAATAATTCATCATTTATCTGTTGCAAAAAAGAGTTCAGTAGAATGTTCAAGCTCCTCACTTCCATATAGTAAAAGTGAATAGTGACCACTGCTGTGCTGTCACTGGTCAGCATCCACTTTCATTGTATGGAAGAGAACAGCTTGGACATTCTGCTAAGTATCTTTTGAGTTCTATTAAAGCCATTCAGGTTTGATATGATGACAAAATATTCATTTTAGGCTGAAATTCCCTTTACCTTATTGATAAACATCATTTACCAATGTTTATCAATTGTTGAAAAGTTATATTTCTTATAATGGCGCCGTGCAGTTGCCATCATATGAGCAACACTGAGTTCGAATTCATCTTGTCATCCTGTTTCCCCCGTCATTCTCTTAAATATGCTGTAAAAAAGTCTCTTATGCTCATCAAAGCTACATTCATTTGATCAAAAATATTGTAACAGTATTAATATTGTGAAATATTACAATTTAAAACAGCTGTTTTCTATTTTAATATATTTTAAAAAGTAATTTCTTCCTGTGATTGCATCACTCCAGTCTACAGTGTCACATGATCCTTCAGAAATCATTCTAATATGCAGATTTTCTGCTCAGAATAATTCTTATTATTATCAATGTTGAAAACCGTTATGTTGCTTAATATTTTTGTGGAAACTGTGATCATTTTTAAGGATTCTTTGATGGATAGAAAGCATTTATTTGAAATAAAATTATTTTGTAACAATGTAAAAGTCTTTACAGTAACTTTTGATCAATAGAATGCATCCTTGCTAATTAAAAGTATTAATAAAAAAAAAATAAAAAAATCTTATTGACCCCAAACTTTTGAGCCATAGTGTAAACAAAAAAGCTTCCTTTTAAAACAAAATGAGTACGTAATAGTAAGTAACACAGAGAAGATTATGCTGAGTGTGGTGTTTCAGATAAATGTCCACGCTCAGCAGTAACATGGGAATTTTCTGCTGCAAATGTTTGAATTGCTCTGTGGTGACCAAAAATATGCTGAAATATTTGCTTAAGATCTCATATCTCACATTAGGCAGCACATTTCGCTGATTTATTTCTCAACCAACCTGTGCACTCTTGGATTTGGCATGTGATCACAGACCTCTTTATATTATGTATTATATTATGTTTCAGTTTTATTAGGACATTATTATTTGTTTTTAACAGAACAGTGACAAATACCTGTGTGTACCCTTCACAGACAGCCAATCAGACGAGAGCTCTGTGAAAGCATATGGTCTAGGATGTGTACGTTCTTTTAGAGGAAAAGTTCTTGTCTTGATTAGATCCTCCAGGATAAAAACTCATGTATTGATGTATGAGCCAATTCATACTAACATCAACAGAATCTGAGCCATTTGCAAATGTCAAAAACCCTGAAAGAATGTGGGTCATATAATTTGAATCGAGTGGGTCATATCAAGTTTACAGTTTACACTGATATGTGTTTGAACTGTACGGTGGTGTCGGGGGTGCCCGCCTGTTCCCGCTCGTGAGAGTCGTAACACCTGTGTTAACTGTGCCAAGGTCTCTGTGGGCTGAAGATCAAAAGTACAGACACCTGATAAACAGCTGCACAAAATGACAGAAATGAGCACATGTGGTTTTTTCAGATCAGTTAGTTTATGATGTAGCCTAACTATCTAAAATGAAATGATTTCTCATTTTGACAGTAGTGGCGTGTGGCTTTTTTGCATTAATAAGTTCTGTGCAGTGTGTATATATGTCAGTTTGACACATTATGTTCTTGGTAAACTCCTTATTGACTGTGTTATGTCTGATTGACTATATTTTATGCCTCTTATAGCCCTAAAAGCTTCACTTTCAGTGGCCAAATGGGTTTGAGTCTTTATGATGGACTATAAGGATGTCATTTCTGAACTGCTGCAAGTAATAACAGCTGGTAAACCTGATCAAGTGCACTGCCTGCAGTCAAATACAGAGCGCTTATGACTTCATTGTTCATACAGGCAGAAACTGGAAGCCCATCAGGGCACTTTGTCTTCCTCTTCTCCTCTTTATTTTCAAATATGGAGTGTGATGCTCTACTCATAGTTTTTATGCTTTTAGCCCTCTTGTAGCTGTTTGTTTGTACTCTCTATAATGTGTCAATGTTCCACATTTTTAGGATGTGGAGAACTTCAAAAAGCTCAACATGATCAGCCAAGACGAGTTTGATACTCTGACCCCTAAACTTCCCATTGACCCCAACCAGGAGGTCCCGCCCCCTCCACCATGTCAGACAGGTGATATCTATCTTCTATCTCTCTCTCTCTCTATCTTTATTTTATTAGTAAACAAGCAAACAGTTGATTATAAATAAAATTATTCATTTATTTAAATGTATGTATTTTTTTGTGTCTGTTCTTTTTCTGTAGATGATTCTAGCATGGCTCATTCTCTCCCCACGGATGTCCCAGAATCCTCCAGTGTGCCTCAGACCCCACGTACACCACGCACTCCTGGAAGACAGGACCCCACCAAAACCCCACGCTTCTACCCTGTCATCAAAGATAGCGGTGACCTTGACGGAAAAGTATGTTTGTAACAGGCAAACATATTCTGGGATTATAAGGATGACCTTTTATGTGTATTTTGTAACGATATCTATGTATTACCTGATATATGTATGTATGTGTGTATATATATATATATATATAATATATATTAACATTTTTGCTTGAGTTCGACATTTGTCCTAACCAGGTGCATATTTTCTCCCCCCCCCACACTCTTTTAGACCCCCAGAAAGAGGAAAACCCGTCATAGCTCTAACCCTCCACTGGAGTGCCATGTAGGCTGGGTGATGGACTCACGAGAGCACAGACCCCGCACTTCCTCCATCAGGTTTGTGGCTTTTTTATGTCATGCACTCAATACTGAGGTGCCAATCTTTCAGCGACTTGAGACACATCAGCTAATTGTTTCAGAAAGTTGGCTCTACTTAACAGTCTTTCTTTCTCTCCCATTATCCTCCTCGTCCTCTGTACAGCAGCTCGAATGCGTCTCCGTCAGAAGGAGCTCCCGCGCTGTCAGGCAGTTACGGATGCACCCCGCAGTCCCTGCCTAAGTTCTGGCATCCATCCCATGAGCTTTTGAAAGAAAACGGCTTCACCCAGCAAGTTTACCACAAATATCGGCGACGATGCCTTAATGGTACAATGATTGTTTGGTTTTTTACACAACAGCTGTTCTATCTATATTTATATTTATATCTGTATGTATGTATCTATCTGTCTGTCTATCTATCTATCTATATATATATATATATATATATATATATATATATATATACATCTGCTTTACTTGAATTTCTCATTTTTGTGTATTTTCTTTCCTCAGAGAGGAAGCGATTAGGTGTGGGTCAGTCTCAGGAGATGAACACCCTCTTCAGATTCTGGTCCTTCTTCCTCCGAGACAACTTCAACAGGAAGATGTACGAGGAGTTCAAGCAGTTTGCCATAGAGGATGCCAAGGAGTACTACAGGTAAGAGTTTTAGTCCTGAATTCTGTTTTATCTGCAGACTCTGTCTGAAGAAGTTATCAGCCTTTGAGAATTCAGGCAGCTAATTCCAGAATAGCCAGGCAGTAAGTCAACCAAGTTAATTTGACCCCTTCTCAAGTGTCTCCAGTTTGGCAAGAGGGTGCATAAATGACAACCCCAAAATATAAATGTTTCTGCTCATGAGTCCCTCTGACTATATACATAACCAGTGGTATAAACATAGGTATTACAGATGCTTCAAAATTCTCCCGATTTTGATTTGTTTAACAGAAAAAGCTACAGAAGACTTGAAAAATGGTTCATCTCTATTCTTGAAAATAATAAAATATGAATGAAATATTGGCTATCATAGCAATATCTCATGAGAGAGTGTTACAGCTGGCATTCATGTTCGACCTACATAGCACACAACATACAAACACACTCACATTAAAATGGCTGACAAGTCTGAACATTGTTCTTTCTGGTCTGTCTTGTTCCTATACAGGGATGCATAAACTCTTCTGGTTGTTTACTCACAGATTGTTTGTATTAGTTGTTAGGCAATTGTGCATATTTCAGTACTAAATCCTGAATGCTGAAGGCTTGGACTCCTATTTCACTTATTTTTTGAATCAACAAAACTCAAAATGCAATATTAAAATCATGTACAATATCAAAAGGATCTTGAACTTCAAATGCTATCAACATCACAAATCTTGCAGATTCTTAAACAATAAAAAAAAAAATCTGGGATCCCAGATCATTGCAGAATAATATTTCAAAATCTTGTGCATGTTGTTTAGGCACAAAATGACTGTCTTAAGGCAAATGCACACTGTAGTGTAAACTATACCAGCTCTGACTTTCTGCATGTATAGCATTTGCAATGTTGATAGTCATGCAAATAATTGCACTGGTAAAGGATATATAAGGTTTTTGTACACTATCTGCTGTGCTACCTGGGAAGGCCAACACTAGTTTCCTAATGTGTGTTCAAATGTTTGTCACAGGTACGGACTGGAGTGTCTGTTCCGGTTCTACAGTTATGGACTAGAGCGGAGGTTCAGACAGGATATCTTCAAGGACTTCCAGGAGGAGACCATCCAGGACTATGAGAAAGGTCAAACATTCATAGTTTGGCAAAACAAATAAAAACAAATAAAAAATGCAAAGGCAGAAATCTTTGTTGTGCCATTTTAACTTTGCATATCACCCACCATCTCAGTGTCTGATGTTTTGTGGGTGAAATTCACTTTTTGCATTGGTGGAAACTTGTTAGTAAACCCCATGTTGCTTGAAGTCCAGTGTGAAGTTTCCACAGTCAGTGATGATTTGGGCTGCCATGTCATCTGCTGGTGTTGGTCCACTGTGTTTTCTGAAGTCCACAGTCAACGCAGCCATCTACCAGGAAATTTTAGAGCACTTCATGCTTCCTTCTGCTGACAAGCTTTATGGAGATGCTGATTTCATTTTCCAGCAGGACTTGGCACCTGCCCACACTGCCAAAGGTACCAAAAGCTGGTTCAATGACCATGGTGTTACTGTGCTTGATTGGCCAGCAAACTCGCCTGACCTGAACCCCATAGAGAATCTATGGGGTATTGTCAAGAGGAAGATGAGAGACACCAGACCCAACAATACAGATGACCTGAAGGCCGCTATCAAAATGCCGCTTCCATTACACCTGAGCAGTGCCACAGGCTGATTGCCTCCATGCCACGCCACATTGATGCAGTAATTCATGCAAAAGGAGGCCCAACCAAGTATTGAGTGCATAGAAATGAACATACTTTTCAGAAGCCTGACATTTCTGTTTAAAATATCCTTTTTTTATTGATCTTATGTAATATTCAAATTTTCTGAGACACTGAATTTTGGGTTTTCATTATCTGTAAGCCATAATCATCAAAATTTCAAGAAATAAAGGCTTGAAATATTTCACTCTGTGTAATGAATCTATATAATATATGGGTTTCACTTTCTGAAATGAGTGACAAAAATATTGACCTTTTTCATGATATTCTAATTTTTTGAGATGTACCTGCATATGTGTAGGTCAACTATATGGACTGGAGAAATTCTGGGCTTTCCTGAAATACGCAAAGGTGAAGAATCAGCCCATTGACCCCAAGCTCCAGGAATACCTCAGCAAATTCAAGAGCATCGATGATTTCAGAGTAGATGTGAGTATAAGCATCAGTCTTACATGTTAATGTGATCCCAGAATAACACATTAACCCTGTAAAAGCCTAACATACGAAATAGTAGTTAAAAATATATTTTTTCTGAAATGGAACAGTTTTTTTAAACCTAAAATTAAATCTAAAATTAAAAGGTTTACGTGTGTGTTTTATGTTTAGCATAATTTTTTATACATACAAGGTTTTTATGGCTCATAATATGATATAGCAGAATATGGAGCTCATACTCAAGGAAGAAAAACGTCACAATTTTATTTAGAGGTGCAAATTGAACAAAAATATGCAATTTGGTATAGTTGCTTATATATATACATAGGCCTATATATATGGCCAAAAAGTATGATGAAATTCTGACAGCTTGTAATCTAAATCAATAAGATTTCATAACGGTATATAATAGATTACATGCATAAAATTGATATAACTAACAGTGGTCACTATATAATAATCTCAGTGAGATATTTAAATGCTCAGTTTTATGATAATTTATGATCAGCTTTGTATTTTTATTGTGGGGACAAAACGTAATGCAGTAATGCAATACATGAGAGATGTACAAATAAATATTCCTCAAAAGCCTATGTATATGTATATATGTACAGTATGTCATGTATGTATATCATTTGATACTTACATTTTAAGGTGATTTATTTACTTTCTTAAATGACGTATGGATATTCAAGTAAACCTAAGTTGCTTCAGTCCAGTAAGTGTTTATCTTGAAGTATTACTAACAATATAAAGATAATTCTTAGGTTTACTTTATAAAAATCAGTAAAGATTTTACAGCAAAAAGACACATGTACCATGACCTGAAGGGGGTGTTTTTGGAATTATACAAAAAGGCCTTTTACTTACTAAACAAATAATGTAAAAATCAATAGTAATCAGAAGGCATGTAGTAAATGTTTTTTTTTTCAGCAAAGTTTTGATCATGTTGATAATTTAGAGGCCTTAGAAATTTGTATATCATATATTATATAGTAGGCTTTATAGGGTTAATAGGATTAGTCAATATACATTTAATCACTTTCTAACGGTTGTTAATAGTCTGTTGAACTCTAAACCAAATGTAATTTCCCTTCTCTTAGCCACCAATGGCAGAGGAAGGAGTAAGGAGGAAAGCACACTCGTCCTCCGCAGGAGACGAGGTGAAACGTAGGCGGCACAACTCGACATCATCATCGAAACAGACCCCAGTTGCCAAGACATCTTCAGACAATCAACCAACCGCAGGAATGATGGCAAAAACAACCACAACGGATCAGGCCGCTGCCCCAACGACAACGAAAACCACCAATCAACTATCAGCCAAGCCAGTCACAGCCAGTCAGAAACCAGCACCTGTGTCCACCGAAAGCAGCACGGCTAATGACCCGTCTACAAAAGCCCCACCCAAAGAGAATGTGAAGAAGAATACCTCATCAGATGCTCGTAAAGGAGAGGCGGCGACGAGCAAAAGCAAAGATGCCCAACAGCCAAAGAAATGAACCTCTTACTACACTATATACAGTATTTGAGTGTGACTCTAATTCTGGAGCTGTGAACAGATTTTGAGTGCTGGTGCAGGCTTACGTTTTACACCGTAACCTCGGAAGTGAGCCAGTCAAACCGTTAGAGCAAAGACCAACTGTCAGACCGTTGCATTCACAAACTGAAGAGTAAACCAGAAATATCTTTGTGTTGTACAAGGTGCTTTTTCTGGACAGGTTAACTTCCATAAGAACTTTTGTTTTTGTTTTTCTTTTAAACTTTCTTTTTTTTCCTGCAGTTAGTGTTTCAGAATCAATTATGCATGGTGAACTTGTTTTGCTGTCAAGTTTACAGAAGGTGCATTCCTACATTGAATGCCGTTTTATCTCTTTTTAAAATGAGTTTTACCTTTGCAAATGCCTTACATTTCAAAAGCAACAAATATATATATATATATATATATTACAGCTCTGTCAGCATAAGTAATTAATAATCTCTTGGTTTGTACTTTGTGCGAAATGCACAGTACACATTCAGTTATTTTAAAAACTCAAACAAAAGCTCATCAAACAAAAAAACTTGAACTGAGGTTGACACAAGATAACACACTATATAGCTTATTGCATTTTTTGCTCTTTTAGCTTGTGTAGGAAATATGACAGTGATGGAATACTAAGTTCTTTATGCTTTTATGATTAACTGAGTGTCTGAGCTGAATATCAGATAAGTACGTAGATATCAGTGGTGAGGGATTGTAAAAAATGTTAACATCAGGAACTACAGGATGTTCCTGCCTTTAAACCAATATTGTGCCGTTCACATTGCTAAGTTGGTGATCTCAAAGACACCACGTCTCCAGTTTAGATGTAGAGTAGAGGAAGAGAAGACATCTTTTTGACCTTTTTGATCATTTTGACTTAAATTTGAAAACATCTGTGTACTTGAAGTTTCTAAGAAATGTTAACTTTTTGAGAAGGATTATTCTTCCTTTTAAATTTTGAATCCTACTGGAGTTGAGTTTGAGATAATTTATTGTTTTACTCTCTTTTGAAATCTTAATTGATTATAATCTTTTTTTTTTATTGATATTACTGAGAGAGTGTAGATGACTGCAAACATGGTGGCCCAGAGAATACTTTGATTTGCATTATATTTTTATTTTTCAGTTTGGATCGTGGCTAATAACATTGAATCAGTGTTTTTTCTCACTTATGATCAGTAATCGGACACTGAATTAATGTCCCGATTGTATCATATTTGCTTATGAAAACTGTACATAAAAATATTAGAAGCAGCTCTCTAATTTCAATCAATTCATTTTTATTGATTCATTTTATTGTGATATTTTTGTTTGTGTGCGCTTGTTGTGTTGTATGCATGTTGGTTTAATTTTTTCTTTCCTCATAAATTGTAAAATGTAAAAAAAAAACTTTAAATATATTAAAATCTGTTTATAAAACCCCAAAATAACATATATTGTATTTTTTTGTTGAGTTCAAGTCAGGCAATGTGTGCAATGTAATGTAGTTTTACTGAGTCTTACACATTCCACACGTTGCACATTTAAAAAAAAAAAAAATCCATTAACTTTCCAGTTATTTGGATTACTAGATAATGACTTAAAAATAATAATAATAAATAATTTGCACTCACAAAGAATAATATATATGCTCAATATTTTAGAGTCGAACATAACCTGAATCGTGTGCATTTTCCAGGACTACAGGAACCCTCTTAAAGACATAATAAACACACTGAGAGCAATCCAGCTGCTCTGTTGTAAACAATACGTCTAGTATACACTATAAACAATTATTTTTGACATTGTAAAGAATAGACACTTTTTAAACGATAATAATAAACTACAGAAACTGCAGGGGTCAAGGGACATTTTGCACTTTAGCAATAGTAAAGATTGTAAATTCTGAGTTGTGAAGATAAAGGGCTCATAAGGGATACTGTTATCTTTGTTGAATTATGATTATTATTATTTAACAAGTTATGTTATAGCCTGCCATATAATATTTAAAGCAGTTAAATGAATTTTGTATTAATTCGCGTTCATTTTTTTTTTTTTTTATGTGTGTTTTCAATATGAAACATTTAGAGCTGCAAGCTAATTAAAAGCATATTTCCTGCATATTCTAGTATTTTATCGCGGTCAGCTACTGATAAATATAATCATAACAGTTAGCGCCTTTTCATTATCTCGAGCCTTTGTCTGGTCGCATCGGGTCGCATGCGCTCGGTGGTCTTGTAGGCGCTACGCTTGACATAAAACTACAAATCCCAGGTGCCAACGCGGTGTTCCGGTGACAGGCAGCCAATCAGACGCGCCCCTGAATGCCAGCTGGGCAGGCGCGCGCGGTGGGAAGGCGCTATCGTTGCAGTATGGCGGACGATGGGGACGGTAGGAGTGCGGCGGCGGACACTAGCAGCGGGCAGGGGACGACGGAGGAGTTGGATCCGGGGACCGGTCTCGGTATAAGCGGCATGCTGCTCGATCTCAGCGTTCTAGTGCTCTTGCTGGCCGCGTGTTACGTGGTTTACGCGCGGTGGTGGAGGAGGGCGGGTGCGGACGCGGGCCGGGGCAGCGAGGCCTCGCCGCTGCCCAAGATGAGGAGACGCGACTTCACCCTGCAGCAGCTGCGCGAGTACGACGGTGTGCAGAACCCGCGCATCCTCATGGCAGTCAATACCAAGGTCTTCGACGTGACCAGCGGCAAAAAGTTTTACGGACGCGGTAAGGAGAGCCCTCACACCCTCATTCAGCGGTGTTTTTTAACTTCAGCAGTGGAAAAGGTAGTATCCAGTAAGCAAAGTCTACAAAAGCTTACGTACTATGGAATACGTACTAATAACTACTGGATAGTTACTAGTGACTAATAAACAAGTATTAGCACCTTATTAATGTTCTCGGTAGCACTTTATTTTGCAGTTTCCCTCTTACACGTTACTATAGCAGTAACAGTACATTATGCTTAATTACAAGAAACTAGCCACAAACCTATAGTAAGTATATGTGGTTTATTAATAGTTCTCAGTACTTATTTGTATGACTACACTATAACAAGGACATCTTAAAATGAAGTAACTTTTTTTTATACTGAAACTGTAAGTACCCTGCAACAATTGAAATGCATACTAGTCTGCATACTTTAGCCCTTTCTAACTAGTAGTAATGGAATAGTTACGTTACAACTGGATACTAGTAATTATTCCAGCAGTGACTAGCATCTGTTGAATAAGTACTAGTGACTAATTGTATAGATACTAACCAATAATGAAGTACTAACATCTAATGAGTAGTTACTAGTGAAATAGTGAAGGATACAATCAGATTACTGGTAACGCTTTATTATGTTGTCCTTGTTACACTTTACATGTAGTTGCTGTAATAATAATAATAAATTATGCTTAATTTTAAGCAGCTAAACCTATAGTAAGAGCATGTTGCTAATTAATATTACTCGTAATAAATAGTACAAAGTAACACAAGCAGATACTAGTTAGTTTTAAGAAACAACAGCTTGCCATAGGAGAATAGCTTGTGTGGTAACCAAATTATACTTGTCAATACTCTGGTCAGAGGAAAGCTAATACTGGTAAACACTGTTCAAGGTAAAGTCACACAAAGCCGCTTTCTCCCACAAACCCCTGCTGTGATGATGCATGGGGTGGTCTGATCTCTTATCAGAGTTTGCCAACCTCTTGACGGGCTCTTTGTCTTATTCATAACTGCGGTTAGCTTTCTCTCACTCTGTTTTGCCATGGTGAACTCTTTCCCAGACATCAACCTGTCATGTCAGTGCATTTTTGAATGAGAGCCATGTGTGACGTGGACATACGGGGTGAGAGCTATGTGCTGGCACACCTGTCAGGTATGTACTGTACAGTTACAGCTGTACCATGCAATAATCGATATGCTTATTTTAAACGCGTAACGCTAACAGCTTGATTTGCTATGATGGATATTAGGTCAGCTAAGTTTAGCAGTGGCCTTGGTTAAGAAATCAAGCACTGAGCTTCATTCCTTCCTCCCTCCCCTGCAGAGAAATGCTTGTTTCTTTCCCCTGTGCTTTAAGAGCGGTTTACAGGCTTTCAGCTGCTGTGCAGAACAGCTGTTTGCTACACAGAATACTTGAAATATTTGCTCTTTTGTCTGTCTGGAGTCTATATTTGGAGACCAGGTCAGAAGTGAAACCGAGAATGCACATAAAACTACCAGGATTGCCACAGCCTTTGATTGCATTTACCAAGTTTTGATTCACAGTCCAAACTAGAGCCTCTGATTGGGCCTCACATCTCCCTCTGCTATATTTGTATATGAGATATGTTATCTGACCATCTGTGGTGTTTATGGGGGAGTGCAGGGCGTTCAAGGTGTGTTGTCAGCAGTAGACCAGACTCTGACCCGTGCGTCATTCGTTTAGACACCTGTAGTCCCGTGTGGCATCTTGCAGCATTTCACCCAGACAGAATATGAGATCAGTTTTATTTACCTGTTGCTGCATTCATTTATAACCCCATGAGACTATAGCAGAGGTTTGTACTTTGTAGGGAGACGTGGTGTCTTATCACTTGACCATAGGGTAGCTTGCTTTTTGGTCAATGTTTAGCTGGACCTGCTTGTTTCTTCTAAGACTATTATTGCTCAACTGCTGAAAAAAAAGAGGTAGTGTGTGTGAGCTAACTGGCAGTTGCACATGGAGATCAGATGATGAACCAAAAGCAAGTATCAAACGATGGCCTTCTGATTGCCCCTACTATTGCCTTCTGTTCTGAATAAACCTAAATGACTGAAGCTCAGTCTCTCTGTCAAGAAAGAGAACAGAAGAATCTACACATGCCAGAGCAGCCTAGTCATCATCAGGCTTGATCTGGAAGGCTTTTGGCAGTCATACTATTTATGAATCATGGATTCTAGTTCCTGTTCAAGAGGTTATAGAGTAAAACTCTGAATGCAGTAAGTATCAGTGATGTGTCTGTCCTCTTGTCATCTCCATTTATCACATCTATTCATTTGTTTGTCTTGATAGGTGACTGAAGTTCATCAGTCTGTTGTGCTCATTTGTCATGTTTCAGGTTTGGGAGGAAAGGTGAGACCTGAGCTGCAGTTGATTCTTGTTGGTGTGGTATAGTGTATTGTCACATTCTAGGGCTGGACGATATGGTCAAAATTGATATCACGATATATTTCTTAATTTCGGTCGATACGATATAATTCCGATATCGATATGAACACTGTTTATCTGAAATAAAAATCTTTTGTAACATTATAAATGCCTTTATCATCACTTTTGATCAATTTTAAGCATCCTTGCTAAATAAAAGTATTAATTTCTATAATTTCTTTCCCCAAAAAATAATAAAAATTATACTGAATGGAATAGTGTATAATGTTACAAAAGCTTTTTATTTCAGATAAATGCTTATCTTTGGATCTTTATATATTCATCAAAGAATCCTGAAAAAAAAAATGTACTCAACTGTTTTAAATATTGATAATCAGCAAATCAGTATATTAGAATGATTTCTGAAGGATCATGTGACACTGAAGACTGGAGTAATGATGCTGAAAATTTAGCTATGTATGATCACAGGAATAAATTACATTTTAAAATCTATTCAAATAGAAAGCAATTTTAAATAGTAAAAATATTTCAACATTTTACTGTTTTTGCTGTACTTTGGATCAAATAAATGCAGCCTTGGTGAGCAGAAGAGAATTCTTAAAAAAACAAAAAAACATTAAAAATCTTACTGTTCAAAAACTTTTGACTGGTAGTGTAGGCTGATTATTCTTATAGATTGAAACAAATGTGCTTCAGCCAGAAAAAAAGGGTATGAAAAGTGCTCCGAGTCACTGCAGAAAACAAAAA